AAGCAACAGTGCCGATGTCCGAAGTGCCATACTGTCGTCACGTTGCATCGCCCCAAGGCTTCCAGAGGAGCACAGATGGGCAGCACGTCGAACAGCAATCAGTTGGCGCGAGCACCTTCCCTTCCAGGCACGAGATCGGCGAGTTCGAGTACACCGCTGTCGGCTTACAAGCAGGCGCTGAGTGTCACCACCGATCCCGCGCTGAAGGCGATCCTAGAGGCACACACCGGCCAGCTGAAGGATGACGAGATCTCGCCCGAGAAGTGCATCACGCCCGAGGAGTCCCTCAGGCGGGCCACTGCCGCGGTGCGAGATGCAGCCACCAAACACGATCAAGCAGTTTCAGCTCTTCTTCGGGCACGCGAGGTTCTGGTGAAGGCCACCGAGCGTGAAGCTACGGCGGCTCTCACCCTCGCCAAGGCGGAGAAGTCCAAGCTCCAGGCCGTGCGGGCCCTCGCCGAGCTGAACGGAGTGGTTTCGAAGGGCACTAAGGACGGCCATGGCAACGACGGAGGCGACAGCAAGAAGCTCATCTCCATCTCGTGGGACGAGGATTTCTTCAGCACGCTCGACAAGCTCGAGGTCAGCGAGACCGAGCGGGCGGACCTCAAGCAGCTGGAGACCGACTTGAAGGGCGTGCGCGACCTGGTTGGCACCAAGTCCTCCGAGGTGGAGCGCATGCTTGCGCGCATGGCGAAGATGAAGGAAGACATCATGGTTCGCCTGGCCAAGAAGAGGAAGGGCCCCGACGGCGTGGCCACGGGCAACCCTGACGGCGGCGGCAGCGGCGGCGAGCCTGGCGGAGCCCGCGGGGGCGACGACGGGCGCACTGCGGGGGCCACGCCAGTCCGCGACGACCAGGCCGACGCAGAGCTCGCCGAGGAGGCGCGGCGGCTGAGCGAAGCCAAGCTCGCCGCCGCCCAGGCCGCCCAGGGCGCAGGCCTTGGCGACAAGTGACGTACGCGACGAGGCCCCTCGAGCACGCAGTCAGCGGGGGCATCGACTGCATCGGGATCGGCCTCGACGGGGATTGAGCAGCCTTCGAGCGGTGAGACGCAGATTTTTTTTGCGAATGTCACTCAGCTTAGCAAGAAATCGTGGGGGTTTCTCACCAGTAGCAGGGCTGCCAATTATCACCTTTTTGCTTTAGTGGAGACCCACATCGGGTCCAGCGACGATGTTTCTCGGTGGAAGTCTGAGGCCTCGAAGGCCAAGCTCAAATGTTTCTGGAACCCCGCCCGCGGCACGGGAAACAGCACGACCCAGTCGGGCCAGTCTCGCGCCAACGAAGGGGGTGAGTGCATCCTTGCCAGGAAGCACCTACCAGTTCATTCACTTGCTCAGACCAACGGGGCCTGGAAGGACCTTACAGTTGACGGTTCAGCCAGCCTCGATGGTTTCTCTGCTGTAGTCTGCCGTCAGAAAGGGTGTTCGTTCATTCTAGTTTCTTGTTACGCCTACTCTGGCGAGGGGTACAGGGGCCGAAACCTTCCTCGGTTTGCTCGGCTCGGGGCGATGCTGCAGCAGTGTCGCCTACCTTGGGCCATTATCGGGGACTGGAATCTGCCGCCCGAGACTCTACAGAGAGTAGGCTTCGTTGACAAGGTAGAAGGAGTCATCTACAAGTGCCCGCTGCAATGCACTTGCTCTCTAGGTTCAGGCACCCACATAGACTACGTACTGGCTAGCAGAGCCAGCGTACCGTTTATTTCCCGACTCGGGGCCCGTGTTGACGTTCCGTGGCGCCCGCATTGTGGGCTTGTTCTGGTGATCCGCAGCTCTTGCCAGCAGCTGCTTTGCCGAGAGCTCCGCATGGCGCCCAAATTGCCACAGGCCCCGAGGCCGAAGCATCTGCCGCAAGTAGGGTCCAAGTCTAGTATGAAACGGGCTGCCGACGCTACGAAGCGCATAGCAGCCCGTGTTGCGGCGGACGATTGCTATCAAGAGTTGTACGGTGACTTAAATGAGGGCGACCCTCAACAAAGTCACCCGACTCGGCATGTTTTCGGGGACTCGGACGACGAAGGCGGTTGCCCTGGGGCCCCTCTCTCCCTTGCCTCTTTGGTGGGGTCCTCCTCCTCTGGCGGGGCGCGGGGGTCCACGATGTCCGGGTCCCAAGATTTTGATTTCAATAATGAGCTCGATCAAGAAGCCCACGAGCCACCCTTCGAAGTTGAGGCCCCCCCAGACCCGCCTGCGACTAGCGACGCAGACTGTAGCTCCCCAGGTAGTCAGCCTCCCTCTCCCTCCCTCCCTCCACTCCCGACGTTCCACATCCCCGACGAGTCCTGGGAAGCCGCCAAGCGGGACGTGGGTTGCGTTCCAGTGGGGTCTACACAAGAAGTCTGGCCAGTCATTCGGGATTCTGGAGCTTTCCATGTGGGTCGTGAACATATCATGAGTGCGAGCGCACTCTATTCGCAGTGGGTGCGCACCGTCGAGCATACCACATGTGCACATCATGGAGAGCAGGAGCCCAGTCTTTCTCGCTCACAAGGCCCAGTTTTTCGCGAGCGAGTGCTACACATGTTGGAAAAGGTTCGGTCAGAACCGTTACACGGGCAGGTAGCTTGCTGGTGGGGGAGAGTGCACGCGGTACTTCAGAATATTTGTCACCACTTGACTAAAGGGAATGGGGAAGTACAGCGCTCCCGTCTTGCTGCCGCGTGTCGTGCCTTGGCTTGTGATATTCCAGAATCAGTCCATCTACCGCTCGCCTCGCTGGACCCTGCTGACGGAGCTTGGTCTCTCTGGCAGTCGCGGCTGATGCACGTGGAGGATGTCAGCCTCCCGATTTTGCAGACGCTCTGTTCAGTTGCCAAGCGAGTCGCTGGACGTGCCAGGCGGAGGGACCTTCAAAGCTCACTCAACGATTTCCGTGAATGGATTTCCTCACCCGGGGCCTGCGGGGTCCTGCATAAAAACTTGAAGGCCGTTCCCCCCCTCGACCTCTGAGATCGAGGTCGGGGGGGAATGATTTTTCACCCTCGGGGCGTTTTAGATCAGAAGGCCAAGAAGTGGCATCAGCTTTGGAGCCCAGGCGACGTCTCACTTGACTCTTTAGGCCAGTTATTTGATCGCATTCGCGCAGCTGCCGAAGACGATCAGCTGCCTGCTCTCACTTGCGACCGAGTGGAAGCCGCGCTCAAATGTATGAAAGCACGTGCTGGTCAGGGGGTGGATCAGCTTTCACCGACAGACATGCAGCTCGTGCATATGTTGCTCGTGCATATGTTGCAAGCCTGCGAGGCTTGGATTACGTGGCCATGGCAAGTCCTATTGGTCATAGGAAGGTTACTGGGGAAGAAGTCTGGAGGTGACAGGGTGATCGGGCTGATGGCCATGCTCACTAGAGCATGGTCATCAGCTCGTGAAGAAGATGTTCGCCTCTGGACCTCCTCCCCAGAGCCTGCGTGGGATGCCGCGATCCGAGGTAACTCTGCACTTCGTGAGGCTTTCGTTCGAGCCTTACAAGATGAAGCTTGTATGCGTTTGGGGATTGAGTTCGGCACGGGTTTAATTGATGTCGAGGCCTTTTACGACTCGATGCCTTGGGAAGCTCTTGTTGATACCTCTCTTCGGCTACAGTTTCCAGCTACCGTTCTCGGGTTAGAACTTCAGAACTGTGTCGCCCCGCGTACTCTCGCTCAAGACGGGTGTTTTTCGACCGCCTTCCAGCCTTCGCGGAGCATCGTCCAGGGCATTCGGAGCGGTGTTCGTTTTGGGAGGTGCATGGTTTACTTTATCTTAGCTAAAATCACCACTGCACACGTAGGGGCCTCTATGAGGATATGGGTTGACGACCTTTACCAGCGGGTCCAGGAAAGTTGTCCGTGCTCAGCTCTTCGGGTGCCTCCGCGACACTTGTGACGAGCTCGGCAAGGCGGGGCTGAAGGCAGCCTCCAAGAGTGTGTTAGTTTGCTCGCAGTCTAGTGATGGGAAGCTGATTGCAGCCAAGCTCAAGAAGTTGGGCTACACTGTTCACAATGTGTTGCAAGCTCAGTACCTTGGCGTGGACCTCGGTGCTGGCCGTCCTGCTCGCTCCTCACGGCGCAAGCGTGCTGTCAAAGCTTCTGTTATGACGGGTAAGGTTCGCAAATTCGCACGGGCGTCTCGGAGATATCAGGTCACTGGGCGTCTGGAGCGAGCAGGGGCCCAAGCAGCTGGCTCGTATGGGCATCAAGTCCACGGGTCTTTTGGATCTCATCGCGTTGGTTTTCGGCGCCGCCTTGGAGCTGCCCTCGGCTCCAAGCAGAAAGGTCGCTGCCTTACTACACTTTTGGACTTGAAGGTTCCAGGAGCCGACCCGTTCGTGAAATTCCCCAGGGACACTATGAAGCTCTGGCTCGACACGTGGTTTAGCTTTCCTGATCTACGTCCTATGGTTCGTCAGGCCTGGCCTCAGGTTGTTCGGTGCCTCCAGAACATCATCTCGTCCCAGTTTGCTAGACAGGTCCGAGGTCCAATGGGGGCTCTTATTGGGTATTTACTCGAGTTTGGTTGGACCCCCACGTCTCCCACCGAGTGGACTACGCCAGGGGATGAAGGTGCTCACTGGATTTTTCTTGACAGTGGCCTCACAGGTTTCGAGGACACGTCTGAGGTGCTCGACGAGTTTCAACAATCGTTTCAAGACGCCGCTTGGGCGAAGGCAGCGCAGCACTACTGTGGCGAGGGTTCTTCTCACGGAGCCGACAACACCAGTTATCGTCGGTTCCTTCGGAGTCTCCAGGGCAGCAAGCACGGGCATCGCCTTTCGGAAACGATGATCAACGTGGCTACTGGGGGTTTCTGGCCTCGGCAAAGGGTAAATGACGAAACTCGACATCGTTTTAGTCCTGATTGCCCGAGGTGCAAGGAGCAGCCCGAGACACCTCTACATCGGTTTTGGCTATGTCGCTGCAACAGTGCGGAGCACAAGGCTTTCAAGCAGTCTGAGGATTTAGTTCCTCGTGCAGTCTCTTGCGGCGAGAGTGAAGCGTGCTTTTGGTTCCGAGGGCTCACCCCTCGCGCCTGGACAGCCGTACCCCCAGCCAGTACCGAGCCTCAATGGGTCACTGTAGGGGGCAACGAGCCGCCAGAGTTGAACGACACTGCGTTGGGGGAGGGGCGTATCGGGGAACCAGTCATTATCTTTGGAGATGCTTCGGGAGGCCCAGATGCTCGGGAACCAGCTTTCAGGCGCGTAGGAGTTGCTGCTGTTACCCTGGCATCGTACGATCCTCCAGTCGTCCGAGCAGGAGTTTTAGGCCCTCTCCCAGGTAGGAAGCAAACAGTGCCCCGCGGAGAACTTCAAGGGCTTATGTTGGCTCTCCTGTACTCCAGAGGCCCTCTGATTTACGTCACCGACGCTTCAGGAGTTTGTGATGGTTGGTGCAATGGGTTCTACGAGAGGCCCGCAGGGGAGAGTATGGGGGCTTGGGATACTATTCGTTCTATTATCCAGAGTACGGGGCGTGACACGTCACTCATCTCCGTCCTCAAAGTCGATTCCCACCTCTCCCCAGCCCAGATTATTCAACATAATGTTCCGAGGTTTCTGATTGTTGGCAACACGGTTGCCGACGAACTTGCAGGTGTCGCGGCACAACGATGTCGGCTGGACAGCACCCATCGGGCCCGAGTTGTGCGGGTCGAAAGAGATGCATTGCTCGTTCGCCGCAGATTGTTGAGAGTCGCCCTGGAGGTTTTCAGCTCGGATTCTCAGACGCAGCAGCCTCGACATCGGGGCGAACGGCGTGGTGGCGACGGCGCCCAAGACGGGGACGTCGTGGAGCCGCCCTTGCCGCCTCCTCTCCCTCCTCCTCCCTCTCCTGCTGCTCTGTCCGTTTTCCATTCGTCCCACCGCCTCGGGCCAAATGGTCGTTTCTGCTTGCGCTGTAGGGGGTCTGCCTCGGTCGACACTGCCACAGAGTGGCGATCTACCCCCTGTTTTGATCTCGTTCCTGGGAGCTCTAATGTCTTGCATCTGCCCGCTGGTCAACCCTTGCATCTTTGCGGGGGCTGGGTGGGGTCGTCTCACAAGATGGCTTTTCACAGTGACTTGGGGGTGTGGCATTGTACAACGTGTGGCTTCTTTTGTAACGAGCTCTTATCCAAAGATTTGAAAGCGTCTTGCACTGGGCTGCTCAACCCCACCCGAAGAGAATATCTCCGAAGGTTGGCACGAAGGTTGTGGCCTAAGGCGCTCACCCGAGCTCAACAGGCAGCACGAGCCTCGGGTGGCTAGTGACTCGGATCACCTCGTGATGGCGTCCACTCCACTCCACTCCTCCTGATATTCCCCGCCATCCTCCCTCAAATGTTTCCCGAAGGGTTTCCACAACGGTTTGGGAAACACATGGTCCGATAGCTTGGCAGAGCTCTTGCCACAACGCTCGGACACACGGGTGCTTTCAAATCTGTTGCTCCCCCACGCGTTCCCCGACGGCTCTCCAAACCGACTCGGGAAACAACTGGACCGATCGCTTGGCCAAGCTCTAGCCAAGCTGTCGGCCACATAGGTGTTTCCACAAGGGCAGGGGGCGGTGGTGATTCGCCGTAGGCGCCTTCGACAACCAAGAGTTTTCCACATGACATCTGGCATGTAAGCAAGCGACAAGGCGGCTGTTCTTGCACAGTAAGCGGCAGCTGATCTGCCAATCGAGCAGACCCTGTTGCAGGAGGCTCAGGCTCTAAACTCGTGCGCGCGCGTGCCCGCACGCTGCTCCTGACCTCGGGCGCGAAAGAGTGGTGAGGAGAGCAGGGCGAGCATCAGCGGAGGCAGGAGGAGGAAGGGGAGGCCCGACCGCTCCAGCGCCACCCTGCTGGACGCTCAGCAGACCTAGCGTCGGGAACTTTGGTTCAGCCGGTCACGGCGGCGGTCCTGGCGACACGCTATGCCATACAAGCTGACAGCGTGTCGCTCCGCTCTAGGGGCTGAAAGTCTGCGAAGGGCTCTGGACGCTGAGGCCTGGGGACGAAGAAATAGTTAGCTTGTCGCGCCGAGGCGTGGTGGACAAGAGTCGGCCGCACGACACGTTGAGCCAGAGTTTTCGACCGCTGACCCTGCATCTGTGCACGGAGGCAAAAAACGCCATAAACATACACTTGCGACGGTCCGCGTGAATTGCCTGGATTTGCGCTGGACCCTCCTCGTTGGCGCGTGGGGCGAACCAGGGGCGGCGCCAGAGGCGCCGCACGGAGCTCTCGGAATTTATGTTGATGTAAGGTTTTCGTATTCCAGCGGGGCCACAGTTCCCGACCCGAAGCCCCGTATCGATGCACGAAGGCTGGCGCTGTCTTGGACTTGGACTTGGACTTCGGCTCAAAGTCTGTCAAGACTAGCCGGCGATGACACTGCCCGCTGGACGGAAAAAGCGGGTAGAAGCATGAAGCAGGAAGGCGTTGGGAGCGGACTGGGTCTTCGCCCGCCCACTCAATGGGAGGAAGGGAGAGGAGAGACCACTCGATCCGTGAAGTACAGTCGGCCCTGATCAGTAGGTCGACCTTGCCAAAACAGGGGCACCCTTGTGTCCTGTGTCTCGCGACCCATGCCCCCTACATTTGTATGGCAGTGTGGCCCTCGGAAGGATCTTGTGTCCTTTCACGTGTCCTGTCCAATCAAGTCCGACTGTGGGAGGGCGCCTAGAAACTAGATCGGAATCTGGGAGTCCAACACGACCCACTTTCAACGAGGGCCGTGTAAACGTGCACGCCGCACCTACTCACAAAATGTCGTGCGGGCGCCGAACATGCTGCCAGCGCGGCGGCCTCAGGTTGAAACGAACCGATCCGGGAGCTGTGGGATAGGCCGCCCATGGCTAACGATCGCTCCTCGCCGTCGCTCGGACGCCCACTCCCGATGCATGTTCTCGGTGATGTGTGTATGCTTTTTGCTCGATGACCCCGGATGCTCCTCGATGGTCCACGCCGAGAAATGTCATCCGGGCAGAAGACCCAACCTTATGCACTTTTGACTCCACACTGTGGGTACCGCTCTCGGTGGAGCCCCTATATGGGGCCACGACCTTCGTGAGGGGTGTGCCGAAATGGGCGGGGGACGCATGCGGACCCTGCCGCGGGGGCCTTCGGTGGAGCTCCCTATGGGGCCACGAGCCTCGTGACGGGTGTGCCGACATGGGCGGGGGGACGCATGCGGACCCTGCCGCTGGGGCCTTCGGTGGAGCTCCCTATGGGGCCACGACCTTCGTGAGGGGTGTGCTGAAATGTGCGGGGGGGGCGCATGCGGACCCTGCCGCGGGGGCCTTCGGTGGGGCTCCCTATGGGGTCACGATCCTCGTGAGGGGTGTGTCGAAAGGGGCGGGGGGACGCATGCGGACCCTGCCGCCGGGGCCTTCGGTGGAGCCCCCATACGGGGCCACGACCTTCGTGAGGGGTGTGCCAAAATGGGCGGGGGGACGCATGCGGACCCTGCCGCTGGGGCCTTCGGTGGAGCTCCCTACGGGGCCACGACCTTCGTGAGGGGTGTGCCGAAATGGGCGGGGGGACGCATGCGGACCCTGCCGCTGGGGCCTTCGGTGGAGCTCCCTATGGGGCCACGATCCTCGTGAGGGGAGTGTCGAAAGGGGCGGGGGGGCGCATGTGGACCCTGCCGCTGGGCCTTCGGTGGAGCTCCCTGTGGGGCCACGATCCTTGTGATGGGGTGTGCCGACATGTGCGGGGGGGCGCACGCGGACCCTGCCGCTGGGGCCTTCGGTCGATCTCCCTATGGGGCCATGATCCTCGTGAGGGGCGAGCCGAAGTGGGCGGGGGGACGCATGCGGACCCTGCCGCTGGGGCCTTCGGTGGAACTCTGGGCCACGCACGATCCTCGCGAGGGGTGTGCCAAAATGGGCGGGGGACGCATGCGGACCCTGCCCTGGGGGCCTTCGGTGGAGCTCCCCATGGGGCCATGATCCTCGTGAGGGGTGTGCCGAAATTGGCGGGGGGACGCACGCGGGCCTTGCAGCTTGTGCCTTCGGTGGAGCTCCCCGTGGGGCCACAATCCTCTTGAAGAGGTGTGCCGACATGGGCTGGGGGACGCATGCGGACCCTGCCGCTGGGGCCTTCGGTGAGGTGGAGTTCCCCACGGGGCCACGACCCTCTTGAGGAATGTGCCGAAATAAGCTGGGGGACGCATGCGGACCCTGCTGCTTGGGCCTTCTGGGGCACGCGGACCCTGCCGCTGGGGCCTTCGGTGGGGCTCCCTATGGGGCCACCCACGATCATCGTGAGGGGTGTGCCGAAATGGGCGGGGGGACGCATGCGGACCCTATCTCTGGAACCTTCGGTGGAGCTCCCTAGGCAGCCACGAAACGCTGTCGTGGGTGGGTGAAACGCAGGGAGGTGACGACGCGGATGGGAGGAGGGAGGAGGGAGTGGAGGAGGGGGAGGAGGAGGAGGAGGAGGAGGAGGAGGAGGAGGAGGAGGAGGAGGAGGACGAGGAGGAGGAGGAGGAGGAGGAGCGGAGAGGAGAGGAGAGAGGATAGGAGAGGAGAGGAGAAGAGAGGAGAAGAGGAGAGGAGAGGAGAGGAGAGGAGAGGAGAGGAGAGGGGAGGGGAGGGGAGGGGAGGAGAGGAGAGGAGAGGAGAGGAGAGGAGAGGAGAGGAGAGGAGAGGAGAGGAGAGGAGAGGAGAGGAGAGAAGACGAACGCGGGACGCTGTCTTTTCAAAACGAGGACCCAACACCACAGGATGGTTGGGAAATCCACACGTCCGAGCGATGTCAAAGTTTCTCCCCACTGCACGAGGTAACCGTAACGCGGGCCATGCCCTGCTTGGCGCCCCTGCCGTCGAGGGCGCGTTCCTGCCACTGTTTCCCGCCCCGTTTCCCGCGCGGGCGTGTGGCGCGCTCTCATGCCGTTCTATGGCACGCCTGCCAAGACAAGCCACCTGCGTTCCACTGGGAACCGCCTGTCTCTGGCACGCCCGGCGTGGGGGCACGGCGAGGGCATAGGATAAAGAACGGTTAAATACCAGGGCGACGACATGTACACCTATCCGGCCAGGGAGCAGTGGGCGTTTCCACAAGAACCCAGCCATCAGATCCCAGGATTTGGTGTGGAAGCGTCACGCTTCCCAAAACAAAACCATCGACACCCAAGAGACCCAGGGCACCCTGGAGGCAAGCACGGTGTCTCCCGGTATGGTTTTCCACTGTAAGAAGCCCAAGGTGGAAACCCAATCGATCAGGCCATGGGTGTCACCGCCGCTCTCATCAGATGAAAAATCCTCCACGGTCTGACGCCTCCCGGGCACGTTCCTTCGTCAACGCCCCGACGGTGATCACGCGTCATTGGGAGACTTGTCTTTGGCCTGCCTGGAATGGGTACAACAAAACATGATGTCCAACAACGAGCTGTCCGAAACCGTCAGCGGCCGCTGTTTGGCAGGCGACCTCCCGTGTCGGATGGATTGCGTCCGCGGCGACACCGACGACGGGTGCTGCTCGAAACGGGCAGGAACTACTGTCGCTGGAAGCCTGGAAATCCCACCAGCCCTCTGGGCGTAGGTGATTTAGGGAATTTCCTCTTCCACCCATCCTTCTTCCCCTTCGGGGAGGGGTTTACCCCTCCCCCTAACCCCCTCCCCTGGTAGTTGGAGCGACCAAAACGGCCTCGGCGAGGAAGCCCAAATCATAGGTGTTACTCAGGTTTTGGCCCCATTTTGGCCTCTTGGGGGGGCAAGGTTAATTAACTCCACCCTCTTCTTTGATCGATCGCTTCCAAGATGGCCCCAAAGGGCGCCCAGGAGGCCACAAGAGGCTTCCAAGAGGCCTCCAAGAGGCCCCAAGAGGCCGCCATGAGGCCCCAAGAAGCCCCCAAGAGGCTCCCAGGATGGTTCCAAGAGGCCCCCAAGAGGCTCCAAGAGGCCGCCATGAAGCTCCAAGAGACCCACAAGAGGCCCCAAGAGGCCTCCAACAGGCCCCCAAGAGCCCCCCAAGAGGATCCCAAGCGGCCTCAAGAGGCCCCCCCCCGAAGCACCTAAGACGCCCAAGAGCCCCCATTGACCGCCAAGAGACCCCCAAGACGCCCGAAGAGGCTTCCAAAAGGTTTCCAAGAGGCATCCGAGCGGCATTCAACCATCCACCCAGCGTCATCATTATCCTCATCCCTCCTTTGCTCGGTTCCTCGCCACCACCTCATCTATCCATCTGGCCTCCTCTTCCGCCTCATCCTTTGCACGGATCGGCTGTCCCTCTCGTTGCTCCCCCACTTCCCTGATCTCTTGAACTTGTCTGGACATCGTTTCTGGATGGGCTGGTGGGGATACGCGAAGCGTCAAGAATTGTCACCATCACCCCACACGGGAGGTTGCCTCCACCGGGGACAGGTGATCCCAAGTCTCGGTATGGGTGGCGATTTGTCGGCCACCTCTGGGAAGCCCGAATCTTACCGCCATCACCGAGATCGGGAATATCTTCCCTCGATGGAGGCACGACGCTGGTATTGGCAACTGCTGGTGTCAACTTCTGGGCCTCCGACGTCGGTCTTTGCCCCCGCTCCCTGTGGAGTCGGACCTGGGCCTGAAGAGCGTCATTCCAGAACACCGAGGCCCTCCGTCGGCCAAAACAAACGGAGCATCCGAGGGTACCCTCCCCAAGATGCGAAGGAACACCCCACAGACACGCAGGACACTGAGGGCTACGGTATAGCCTCCCCGAACCGATCTCGGTCTCATGCCTCGGTCCGACTGGAGGTGGAGCAGTTGCAGCTCCTGCGTACGCTTCCCAAGCCATGTGGAAGATGTGCCCCATGCAATCTGGCAGCCTGCAAGGCTTGTGCTCTGCAAAGGGCGCTGACCTGGCAGGTATACAGCCTCCCGGGCCGTAGGCGCAGGCTGGCAACAGAAGAGCAAACAAGACCGGGGACTGCCAGCAATGATGGGCGAACGCGTCGACTGAATGCTACTGGCGGAACCTCTGTGCAGGACAGTAGCCACCAAGCCCTCCTATTGCCCCTGGCGGCGCAGACTTGGCCGCCCCGCGTCCTGCCGACTTCGCTCCCGCAGGCGCCCCAGCGCGGCGCTGGCCGCGCCTCCTGTGCCGGCCCCGCCCCCCGCCCCAAAACGAGAGAACGCGCGGCTCCTCTGGGCGTCCAGCCGCTCCACGCTCGCCAAGGCAGCGCCGCCGGGCCCGCAGCCCCCCATCACGTAGAGGCCCCCGCGCACCTCGGCGCCGGGCCCCGGGGCGGGCAGGGTGCACGGCGCGCGAAGCGCCCCCGAGACCCTCTGGCGTCGCACTTCTGCTTCGCACCGGGCGCTGCCGCCCGGATGCGGGCATGGGGCATTGGCGGATTGATCCCGCTCAAGAGGGGCCGCAGGAAGAGTGGTCCAGGGCTCCGGTCGTGATTTCCCGCTGTGTTGCACCCTTCCAGCGACTTTTCGGCCCCGGCATTTTCTCCTCCAATTCGACCTCTGGGGGGGGGCAACTTCTGGGCCATCGGGCCATCGAACAGACGGCCCGGGATGAAAAGCTGCCCTTGTGGGGAAGGGTCGAGACTCCTCGGGGGCCCGCGGACTGAAAAGGCGGATCCATCGCTGAAGTCTGGTTTCGGAGCTCGAGGGTCGGAATTCTTGGGCGCTCTTGGCCTCTCTGGGGCCTCGGGTGTCTGGAGGTCCCCTGGGGGCCTTTGGGGAGACCTGGGGGGGGGTCCTTCCCTCCCTCGGAGGACCTCCTCTGGGGGCCCCATGGAGAGCGGAGAGTGGCGGAGAGCCCGGGATGCCTTTTCTCGGCGACCCCGCGGGAGTCGGAGCGCCGCCGCTTCTGCCAACCTCTTCTTGGGTTCCGCGAGCGAGGCGTGCGATCTTCAGCTAGCACTCCGACCCCCTCCCTGTATCACGGCTTCTCACCTCTGACTCAGATCGTTTCCTGGGGTCCCAGGGTGGCCCGAAAGCGGCACCTGGACGCCGAAATGAAAGACACGCACTGGGATTGAACCTCCTCCTCCTCCTCCTCCTCCTCCTCCTCCTCCTCCTCCTCCTCCGTCTTTCCCTCCACCTCCTCCTCCTCCTCCTCGTCCCTCCTCCGTCCTCCTCCCTCCTCCTCCTCCTCCTCCTTCCTCCTCCTCCGTCCTCCTCCTCCTCCTCCTCCCCATCCTCCTCCTCCTCCTCCTCCTCCTAATTACTCCTCCTCCTCCTCCTCCTCCGTCTTTTTCGTTGGGGAAGGCATGTATCCGTCAACTGGGAGCCCTTCAGGAAGACCGTTTCGATCTCCGTTCACGTCTTTTATTGGGGTGCTTCCTCCCTCCTACTCTCTCTCCCTCGCCCCTCCCCTCTCTCCCTCTCCCTGCCCTCCTCGCCCGGCGGGGCTTGTCTCCTGTCGCCTATGCCTCGCCATTTCTCGCCGGCGTCTGCCGGCACCGCTGCACCTACGCCTGCGTGGCGCCACCACCATTTGACCCATTTCTGTCAAGTCAGTGTCAATGCACCCGTGCACATGGCTGCGGCGCCGCTTTGACATTGCTCCGGCACGCAAGGTCTGCAGGAACCGCTGCGTACTGCAATCATAGCGCCGGTACGAGCGGGCACTGATCCACTAAAGTTAAGTGATCATCCAATGTTGCAACACTGTTTCAGTACCTCGAAGAGAAATTCCGTGACATTTGGATTGCCGTTCAAGGTCAAGTCACCGAGTCACTGCTGCTGATCGTTTGCGAGAGAAAAGAAACCTCCGTCTTTCCCTCCTCCTCCTCCTCCGTCTTTACCTCCTCCTCCTCCTCCTCCTCCTCCTCCTCTTGCCCTAGACCTCGTTGGGCAATATACCCTGGACTGGGGCTCCTCGGTCCCCGTGCGGATCCGGCCGCCCGTCGCACGGCCTCGGCGAGCTCCCCGAGCCCGTCGGAGCTCTGAGGTCCGTGCCCCTGGAGGCCAGCAGCAGCCGCGCCGGCGCCGGCGATCGCACGCCGGCCCTCGAGCAGGGTGATTCGGCTGATGGGCAGGGTCCTGAACCCTTAATGCTGATGTTTGTCGGCGGCGAGCGAGGGGGGGAAATGTGAAGGAGAAAGCCTTCTCAGGAGGAGGCGGGACTTCTCGGAAGCCCCGCAGCCTTCTGAGAGGTTTTTGTTGCGTCTTCGGGGAAGGCTTAGAGAACTTCTCGGAAGGCCGGGGGACTCCTGAGCCTTCTTAGAATGCCCGCCCCTTCTCACTTCACCCACTCCCTTGCCGCCGATTTTGGTGAACACCCCCCGCGCCCCCAAATTCAGATTGGCGGTCTGCGACGCGATGAGTCGATCTGTCGACTGGCCGAGATCCTGCACCCCGCTGGCGATGCCAACGGACATTTGGATCGGTGGCAGGGGGGTGGGGAAGGCGCGTTGAAGTTCGCGCACGCACGCTGGTCGCCCGGGCGGTGCAGGGTTCTGTCCATCAACCGACGTGCAGGCGATCGGGGCTCCAGAGGGGCGGCGTAGAGTCGGGCGCCGCGCCCCAGCAGAGTCGGGCGGGTGGTCGTGGTGAAGAAAGGGCCCTGAAGGGGCCCCGTAGGGCTACCTTCGCAGCCAGCGTGGTCCCGAGCATCTTCGCGCTTCGCGATCATCTTCGCGCTCTCGCGCCGCGCCCCCCCCCGCCCAGAACAGGATGCGGGACTCGCGCCTCGCTCTGAGATCGCGCAGACCGCGAGGCGCGAGGCGCGAGGAACTTACCTTCGCACCCTCGTGGTGGCCCTCGCCCCGGGCGGCGCAGACTCGGGCGCCGCGACCCAGCAGAAGAACCGACGACGGCCCGCCTTGTGCGCTGCGCCGCGCCTGCTGCTGGGCCTCGGGGCCGACACTCGGCGCCGCCCTCCCCTCCCCGGCGCGGCGCTCTGCCACCGGGGAGGGCGGTCAACGGAACGCTTCCTGGCTGGGACGCGGAGGGGGGCGGCAGGGGACAAAGGGAGGCGACGACGCGACGGCCCCCACCTCCCCAGGGGGGGGGGGGGGACGAAGGGGGAGGGAGCAGGGACCGCCCCAGAACACGGGAACCTCCCTCGGAGCTCCTCCAGGAGTCGCTGTCACTGTGCTGCAGCAGCGCTCCTGCCTCCTCCTCAGTCCTCAGTCGGCGCAGATGGCTCCCGGGAAGACGCCATGGTGGTGGTTTGAGGTCAGGGTCGTATAAGGTCGTGGTGGTTGCTGGGCACTGGTGGTGCGCCAGCAGCTGCTGAACCTTGAGGGCTCGAAGCAGCGCGCGAGAGTCGGCCCTCTCGCCGTCGGAGCGGCATGTGCCAGGCGGGGCGCCTCGACCTGGTCGTGGAAATAGGCGTTGGCCCACGCCAGGCCTGCGAGACAAACGAAACCAGGTGGTGGTTGCAGTGGTAGCGTCGAGGCAGACGCGGTCCTGCTGGCGAGCGCGCTGGCCACCGCAAAGAACCTACGGGGCTGTCCCTCGGGCGCACTCGGGGGTTCGCGCGGCTCCTCCTCCTCCTGGCCGCCTCCAGCAACAGATGCGCCGCATGCGGCGGCGAGGGATCAGACAAGCATCGTTTTCACTGCTGCCCAGCTCGACAAAGCGCGAGACAGCAAACAAGCCACCCAGATGCGCAGCAGATTGGGGCCACCAGCGCAACCACAGTTGCAAACGAGAGCCGCTGGGGTATAGGCATCGTGCAGGACCCCAGCACAGCGCTCCCAGACATAGGGATCCCTGACCGAGCCACCCATATAGGCACAGCCCCAGACATCCTCACGGGTGACGTCTACGTTGATGGCTCACAGTTGCACGGCAAGCACGGCCCCATCAGACGTGCGAGGTGGTGCTATGCGCAAGTCACTGACAGCGGAGAACAGATTTTCGCCATGCACGGGCCGCTGCCGCGGCCACAAGCAGAGCGGTCGATGTTCTGTGCTGGGTTGTACGCAGCATGCATGGCTTTGCGGGCTGAAATGGTGCCGCTAAGAATCTGGCCAGACTGCAAAAACGTTGTAGACGGCTATGCTCGCGGGAAGGAATGATGCATTCGTTTCTCGAACCCGCATGCCAGTCAATGGAGATGGGCCTAGCACCTAGCAGAGGAGCTAGGCGGATTGGGCCTTCAGATGGTCCAGATAGGAAAATGAAGGCCCATGCCACAGTGGCCGAGCGTCAGGCTGTGGGCACGAAGCACCTCCAGGGCAACTGGGCGGCCGATAGGGGAGCCAAACTAGGAGCAGCCTCTCTAGTGTACCCCGAATGGCACGTCGAGAAATACATGTGCGAGTTTAAGCTAATCCAAAGCAGTGTTCAATGTAATGCCAAAGTCTTAGCACAATCGTCTGATGTAGTAGACACGGTAAAAGACGGGCCGCTGCAGGCCTCGAGTACTAGTGGGACGGGTACTGGGGTCGTGGAGCGTCGCAGGGGGGGTCGGGGAAGCGGACGGGGCCTCTGACGAGGCTGGACGCCCCCTGGCCAGGCCTGGAGGGCCTCCAGAGGGAGCGGGCCCCGACGAGGCCCGCCGAGCCAAGCTGGTGCGAAGAAACCGCCACAAGCTCGTGACTCGGCAAAGCTATGCTGTCTGCCGAGTACGTGATTGCTACGCTCAGAAGCGTTGTCATAATCTCAGCAACAGCGAGTGCAAGGGTCACAGGGACAATGCACAGGGTCGCTTGAATCGCCGGTGGAAGGGCCAGCACCCGACCGCGGGTAGGCCCATGGGGTAATCTCCCCAAGGCCTCGCCAGGTCCCTTCTACACGGTGGAGGTAGGACTCTGTTAAATGTCACATCATGTTTAATCCTCCTCCTCCTGTTTCTCCTCTGCCTCCTCCTCCGCAGCAGCAGCATCCTCAACCCCCTGTTCCACCTCCTCCCCCTATTCCTCTTCACCCTCCTCCTGTTCCTCCTCCTCTTCCTCCTCCTCCTCAACATCACCACCACCATCATCACCGTCGTCATCATCAGCATCCGCATCAGCATCACCAGCAACTTCATCATCACCACCATCACCATCACCAGCACCGCCGCCATCGCCATCACCATCACTACCATCCTAATCAGCAGTATCATCATCAACAGCTTCAGCATCACCATCATCATCATAATCAACATCACCATCAACATCATCAACGTGTTCTCTTCATCATCACCAGCACTGGCACCACCATCACCGTCATCAGCATCATTGTCATCAACAGTATCATGATGATCAACATGATCATGCTCATGATCATGCTCATGCTCATCATATTCCTGCTGCTTACCTATCAACTCACATCCGTGCGTTGCAACTGCCAATGTCGCGGTGAAAACTGATGCTGGGCATTCGACTCAACTCAACTCAACAACTCTAGGAGCGATGTCCGATTGTCCACTTCGCATCGTTGCAAAAAGCCCGTTTCGGCACTGAGCCGAACTGCATGAAACATTTAGCCAAAGTGGGACGTGCTCTGAGTACCTGCTATAGGGGGTACTGGCTGCAACTGCGCTGGCACGGGATGCGTACACGGGCTGGCTACAGCGCCCTGGTTAGCCGACCTTTAGCCTCAGGGGCCATTCAGCACCCTCCAGGGAGACGAAGCACAGAGCCCCAAGAACGAATTCCCCATGACAGCGCATCTGCTGACAAGCTAGTGAGCCTGTCCTAGCAGAAACATTTCCGCACAAAAATTTTCCCTCGATCCTCCCCGACCCCCCCCCCCCCCGACTCGACGACGTCCGACCCCCCCCCCATTCCCTTTGGCGGGCGCCTGCGCTTCAACTCGCCGAATTGGAGCAATAGGCGCGGTGCTGGCGGCTAGCGCAAGCGCTGCCTGAACAGAGACGCGCCCAGCCTGCACCAAGCTCAAGAGTCTCACCGAGCGGCGCCCGATCATCACCTGCTGTGTGCTGCTCAACTGCCGCCGTCTCAACCCTCCACTTCCGTCAGTAGCTCCTGGGCCAGTCGCTCGAGGGGTCCGCGAGGCGCTGGTCCCGACTTTGCCTGGCCGCCCATCAGCTTCAGTCCCTTAGTGATTACTGCCTCCAGGTCCGCGTGGGTGGTCTTGGTGGCGAAGCTGATCTTCACCTTGTCGGCTCCTCCCTCCTTTTTCTTGATTGGTTCCACCTTGCAGTGAAGAACTACCTCTGCCAAGTCCAACGCCGATTTGGCTGCCGCCGCCCTGGTCGCCCAGAAGCTCTCCAGGATCCCCTTCTCCGTCTCGGACAGCTTCTCCGCCGGGCTCGCCAGTGCCTTCAACACCGCCATGAAGATGTACGGATAGGGTGGCCCCAATGCCTCGGGCTTCTCTGGGTCATTTTTGGCCTCCTTTGCCCTTTCGTGATATGCGATGCCCTATGCCTTTGCCTCCCTTGCCACCGCGCAGTCTGCGGGAAGGAGCATGGTGCGCCACAGCACTCCCGTCAGCTCCCTCGGCTCCGCCGCGCTGGTCAGCGTGAGGCGCGTGAGCACCGCGATCAACTTCGCCAAGGACTTGAGGTTTTCGCTGCCCGCCAAGTCGGCAACCTTCCGCGTCTCGCGTTGTGGGCGCCTCCCCCCCCCCCCCCGTTCCTGATCCGTCTGCTCGCCGCTTGAGCGCCTAAGACGGAGCCCCCAAGTCCATCAGCAAAGAATGTAAGCGGAGGGGCGTGCGTCTGCAGGTGACTCTGCAGATCTTCTAAGGTTGAGCCGACATATTCACACAGGTGGCAACTTTTGCGATCTGGATCGCGCCTTCCGCCGTAGTATCTTGCATGGGTGATGCACTCCCCACCCCTGCGCAATGAATCCATAATATGCCTCTGAGCTCGACTAACATCTGCATATTCCGCGAGACAGTATGGGCACACGTTTGTCGTAACAATCTGCATCCAAGGATCTCTGACGCCGTGAGCTGACAATCTGCGTTGATTAACTGCTTTGAAACTTCCAAACATTTATCACATTGTCCTGCCTCCGTCATGAACCCACAGACCCAGGCATTGCTGGATCATCCTCTGGGGCCTCAGGAGCGGGGGCTGCTCTGTACTCTGGAGGTGGAACCATGGCCGCGTAGGCTCCTTGCCTGAGACGATCGAAGCCGAACATCTTGAATTCGTTTGCGAAGTCGATGCCCCTAAACAGCTCTAGGAACCCCTGCCTCAGGATGGTGCTCACGAAGCCCCCCTCATCGTCCATCTTCTGAACCCCCTCCAGGATATCCTGCTTCATCTGTTTAGCCCAGGGATTCGCGTCGCGCGTGATATCATCATTGCTGACCGCGTCGTGCTGCTCAAAGTCGTACTTTCCGAAGACGGCCGTGAGAAACTGTGCGTGCCCCCCAAGGTCGTGCAGCACATTGTTGTGTTCGTTTTAGTCGACGTATTTACATCTCGAGATGTGCAGGTGCTATGCGCCAGTATCTAAGTACTTCGCTCGTGCTCATGCTTCTGTGAATGTCTACATCATCTGAAACTTCTAAAAAAATGCGCAGCGCCCTGCATTGCTTTACGCGCATAATGTGCCATGGCTCTGTCTAGAGCATTATATTGGGCGGGGCTGAGTACAGAGGCCTCCACTCCATGGAGGAGTGTGTTTTACACGCAACAGATCAACATACTCCTCCTCGCCTTCCAGGGTTGGTGGGGAAGCGACCAGAAACCCCCCAGAGCTTTGTACGCAATCGATGCAGCCTGCTTGCGTTTTTCTAGCTCCGGAGCAAAACTCGAGCTCGCAGCTACCTGCGCGCCCAAGTACCGAGCAGAAACAGTGCGTTTCGCGGGAAGGGGAAGGACTCCACTGCGCAGACATTCTGCTGCGCGCGTGCGGCCCTGGCCTGCAAAAGCGGGAACAATCTCTTGTTTTCCACGGGTTTGTTTACATCCAATCGTGGCAAGAGCCTCGTCTAAGCACGTGTTAGCCAAATACGAACGTGCAGTGAAACCCGTGAGCCTCTCGTCGACTCGTGACAACAGCATCTTAAGAAGGTCATCTGCATACTGAAACACTGACATGTCCAGCTGGCGTCCTGAGAAAGGGTCAGTAGCACAAAACTCGTCAGCATCACAGTTCCTAACTCGCATTAGCTGCTGCCACTGATTGACACTGGGTTGAAAGGCTTGCACAAACTGTCGAACTACCAGAGGGTCCCCCATGAAAGCTCCACATCCGATTTTTAAAAAGGTGAGACCCCCTGGGTATGGAAGAGGAAGGCCAACTACCGCCTCCTGAAATCTCTGGCAGCCCTGGGGCGAAAAAGCCCTCTCGCATGACCGTGTCAGTAGTTTCTGCTAGGGCGTCACAGTTCACACTGCCAAATGCGTTACTTAGGTCATGCATGTGTGCGAGAACAGATATACCACATTCCTTGGCCCTCCAGATCCCTAGCATGGCTCCCCCAATGGCGGATTCTTTGCAATTGCCTGGGAGGAAGCCGTAAAGCTGACTGGGCATATCTGGGGGCACGCTATTTATGCAATACCAACCTTTCCCGATAGTAGAGAGAAGGTGTACCGTGCGCATCCCTAAAGAGGTGTCACCTATATCATTATGATCAGCCTTCTTAGGCCAGCTAATTCCGTCCGAGGCTGACGTGCCAAAAAGATGGGGTCCGCTGGGATTGCCTGATTTTTACAAACCCATCTTCCAAACCTGAGCGAAAAAGCGGGGCCTCTAGAGGAGGGAGCTCGGTGCCTATTCCAGCAATTTGCTTTTCGGGGTGGGCCTTGGGGGCCAGGCCGTGGTTTCCTCGTTCCTTCTCTGCACAGCGACACCCCTGAAGAAGACGAAGACGGTGGTGTCAACGTATGCTCGAATCGGACGTGCAAGAGGAGGAGGAATCGTTCACCCCTCCTCCCCCATCCTCCCCCTCCTCCTGCTCTTGCTTCGCGCCCCATGGGCAGCGGAAAGAGGCAAGCACTGAGGAGGGGTTGAGCCAAGGAAGGCGAACAGGCAGGGGAAGTTATAGTAAGACCTGCGTCGGCTGTGGATCTCGCTGCCGCAACTGGGGGGGAAGCTGACGGCCCACAGCAGTTCTGCATGTCAACATCTGCAGGGCCAGCTCCTTATCCTGAACTAATGTTTTGCGTCTGCGGCCCCACGACCCAGAAAGAGGCGACAACGATTGTCGTGAGTTGTTGCTTACGACCCCCAGATTGATGAAGGATTTCCCTGAACCCACCACTGTTGCCTACGAAAACAGAGGCGATGATAAACTGAACAATCCCCACATGGCTTCCATCTCCTGTGTAACTTTCCCAGAGCCAGGAAGCGCCCCCAAAACCCCGACAAATCCCCGTCCGGATCAGCTGTCCTCGAGTCGCCACGAGTCTCCGAAGCCTCTCAATGTCGCTGGAAGTCTCCAGAAGTCTTCGAAAGTCCCCTGAAGGTCACAGGAGCCCTCCAGATGCCTCCAGAGACCCGACAAGGGCCAAAAACGTCCCACCTGACAAGGGCCAACAACGTCCCAGGACCTCGACCTCGTCCTCCTTCTCTTCCTGCTCCAACTACTTTTTCTCCTCATCCACCTCCTTCGCATCCGCCTCTACTTCCTCGTCCTCCGTCTCCTCAGCGTCCACCGCCTCCTCCTCCTCATCATCGTCCTCCTCCCCGCTCCTGTATGAAGAACTCTTCCTCTTTCACACCAGACGTGTGAGTTTGTCTGGCCAGGCGTTTCGCTTGAGTTCCTTACAACGTGCGACCCCCGATGTTTTAAAAGTCATACCTAGGGGCGGCCAGTAGCTTTCAACATGTTAATCTCGCCTTAACGCCCCGCGCGTCCGTCGCGTAGGCCTCCAACACTTACACGGATGCAGGCTGGCACGATTTCAAAATGTCGTCCTTGCTTGAGACTTCCACCACAAGTGCAACATCGTGCAGCGTTTACACGGGTGGGAGGTGGGAGGGCGGTTTCTGTCCTACATGGGGTTCCTTCCCATTTGGGATTGAGTCGCATAAATTCTTGACCAGAAGAACTAAACAACCCACGTCGGAACATCTGATATAACACATACGTTTGAGCACGTATGTGTATGTTCTAGTGAACAAGAATCGCATAGCTGCACATATACAGGGTGGATCCTTCTCACAGCGAGGCTGGCGCTGGGCTAAACCCTTGAACCATCAAACACAACACTCTCGCATTCTAAATAGCTCCAGGACTAAACTCGACCCTCGGTTCTCTATCCTCGATCCTCGACCGAGCCTCCATCGACGGCGGCGGCGAAAGCGACCACGTCGCCGCCGCCGTCGCCGTCGCCGTCGCCGTCGCCGCGACGGCGGCGGCGGCGCGGGGCACCGTGGCGACCCCGCAGCGAGAGCGAGCCTGCCGCAGGCCGCGCAAGGGCTCCCAGGCGCCCTCGGCGGGGTCGAGCCACTCGGCAGAGCCCAGCACGCCTGGGGCTCTCTCGGCCCTCCTGGGGGAGAAGGATGAGCAGGAGAAGCAGGAGGAGAAAGGGAAGAGGGGGGGAGGAGGAGGAGGAGATGGAGGGGGAGGAGGAGGAGGAGGAGGAGGAGGACGAGAAGGGAGGGTTGGAGGAGAAGGACGAGGAGGAGGAGAAGGGGAGTTGGAGGAGTTGGAGGGGAGGACTCAAAGAAGCAGGAGGACGTGGCCGACGATTGCGAAGAGACATATGCGCGGTCTCGAGGGCTCCGTGCGTCCTCGCGGCCTCCTTCTGCTCCTCCTGTTGCAATTCTCGTCCTGCTGGCCTCCCATTCCTCCTCCTCCTCCTCCTCCTCCTCCTCCTCCTCCTCCCCTCCTCCGCCACCTCCACCTCCACCTCCCCCACCACCTCCAATTCATCGCCATCCCATCATCGTTACCACCCCCTCCCGTCGTCGTAATCGGCATCATCTTGACGTCGTCGATCGCCGTCATTGTCATCAGTAGCAAAAACTCGTCAACATAGGTATTACTATTACACAAGCCGTCAACATTAGGACAATCGCAATTTAATATCATGGTCGTCGCCATCGTCATCACCGCCAGCAGAATCAGCATCATCATCGTCATCACACCCTCAGCAGCAACATCATCACCACCAGCCGCAGCATCCTCATCACCATCAGCCGCAGCATTATCATCCTCATCGTCAATCTCATCATCACCACCATCACCATCTCCAACATCATGATCCTTCCCGCCACCGTCGTCGTCTCCACCAGTAATTTCACCATTGCCATCAGCATCCGCACCATCATCATCGGCGTCCTCATCAGCAGCAGCCTCCTGAAGGCCTGAAAGCCTGAAGGCAAGACAAATTGTCGGACGTCACCCCTCCGAGGGCCCCGGGCTGCGCGGCGGCCCAGCGAGGGCCCCCCCCCCGCGAGGGCGGCGCGCGTCGCGGCCCGGATGACCCCCTGCAGAGGGCCACTGGGAGGCCCTCCGAAGGCCTCCCCTCTGAGGGCGGCGGCGGCGGCGGCGCACCGTCGGCCCCGCCGCGGCCCGAGCCGCCGACGGCGACCACCCGGCCAGCCAGCGCTCCGGCCACACAGCCTCTGCGGGCCTGCAGCGGCCGCACCGCGGCGGCGGCGGCGACGACTCGTCGCGGCCTTCTGCTTCCCTCCTCCTCCTCCTCTTCCTCCTCCTTCTCCTCCTCCTCCTGCTCAGCCTCATGCTTTTCCGCTTCCTCCTCATGCTCAAGCCATTTTTGGCTCAAGCCATTTTGGCTCAAGTCTTTTCGGCGCCCCCGATTGAGATACTGCCACACTCTTTCGTTCTGAAGCCCCTTTTCCGGTCTCTCTCTCTTTACTTCGATGGCTTTGCCCGGTACTCCTGTCAGGCAATTGTTTAAACAGCACAGGGTCCATAGCCCACTTCATGAGATGGATGGGCTTGACGACGACGTTGGAGCAAGGGGTTCAGGAACTGGAGGATCTGGGGCGTCAACAGGGGAGAACACCACGAGCGCAATCACAGGAGCTGCCCATGGACTTCAACAACATCATGAACAGGGGGGAGATTCACTAACGTTTTCTTCTATGGCACGTCTTTGGGAGCAGCATTTGGCACCAATGCGCCAAGACATATCAGCCATAAAGTTGCATGGAGTTTCTCGCGACGACCTTGACGGAGCTCTCCAACCGATCATGCAAGACATGGAGGCTATTTCACAGCGAGTGGAAGTACTAGAAGCGAAGTCGGCCCAATACACTCCGCGCTCGGACGGCACGGAGATCACCCAGGGATCATTGCAAAATCGTTTGGCAGAATTGGAAACCATGATGAAGAATCTATCGACGGCGAGTGGAAAAACAGGCGCTGCGACGGCAGTGTTCGGTGGCTTGGACGGGCTTTCCTCTTTGGAGGAGGCAGAGAAGTTCATCAAGGCGGAGCTTCGCAAGGCGAAGGTCTCACCACCCGTCGACATCTTCATCAAAGGGGACACTTGTTCAGGCCTCGTTTTCAGCAAGATGGCCAACCCGGACGACCTCCAGACAGTCGTGCACAAGTTCCGGACCACATCCATCACGTGCTCTGGAAAAAAGGTGTGGGCGAATCAAGACCAACCTGTCCATGTACGTGTCCCTCTTCGTTTTCTTCTTGGCTTCAAGAAATTGCTCACCAATTGGGGTTTCAATTCTAAAGCTATCAAAGTTGATGATATGGCTCTTACTTTGAAGATCGGTGCTGACACGATTCTGTCTACAACCTGCTCGGGGAAGAACTTGGCAATTACGTGGTTGAGCGAGGAGTGGAAGAATTGGGGGTATCTTCACAACGACGATGATTACAAGGCGCTTTACGATAAGTGCCAGAAGTCTTTAGAGGCGGTTGGGGACAAAGGAACAGGTAAAGGGAAGCCTCTGGCAAAATAGGGACAGCACCGGTCAAACTACGTTTCACCCCCTACCTTGACAGGGGATTTGCATGTGTATCGCAAGAATGCGAGATTACGAACGAATGCGCAAATAGTTGAATTAATTGCTGAATTGACAGATGTGGAGTGGGATATCATAATGTTCAGCGAGACCAGGGCGACATCAACAGAACTTACATTAGAAGGTGGGCATAAATTGTTTTTACATTTGGATGGTTATGCTGCTGCGGGCGTTGGCGTCTTGGTGCACGAACGCCACGCTCAGAATATTCACCGGGTATGTGCTGAGGCTGGCCGCATGATCGGGTTCGACATAGTATTGGGGAGAAGCACATACACATTTATTTCCACTTATGCTCCTCATGCTGGTTTTTCTCTGGATGAGTTCACCGAGTTCTACGACCGGCTTGATAACATGGTATACTCAGTACAATATCGGCCCAAGGGGGCAAATATTGAACGAATTCGTAGCGTGCCATGGTTTTCAATTAGCAAACTTTCCGCCCAGCCTGACCCACGCAGACGCGTGGACATTCCGATCGAGTCTTGGACACAAAGAGTGCATCAACTTCATCTTAGTGCCTGGCTCCATACAGGTGGTGGACAGTAGAGCGGTTGATCTCTTAAGCTTGGGATCGGATCACAGGGCTGTACTTGCACACTTGACTATGAGAATCCGTACTCGGAAGCGCCAGCAGAAGTGGAATCATCGAGGTTGGCAACCGCGTGATGATGCGGATTATGGTCATGATTTGGACGCTTACTTGCAAGACAGTCCGCCAGGTAATCTGTCCGACTTGGACGCGTGCTTGGCCGCCGTTGCACCGGGACACGCCCAACAGCAGGAAGAGCAAACATGTTTCTGGAATCATACTGCTTTCCAGGAGCTGTTGCGTCAACGTCGAGCTCACCCACACGGGTCCGCAGCCAGACGGGACATGTCCAAACGTATTCGCAGAACTGTGCGTGCAGAGTTGCGGAGAAGAAAAGCGAGGCGCACCGAACAGATCCTCGGCGAGTTCTGCGATCTACATCGGCTCGCTGCAACCAAGTTCTTTCCGGCCCAAAGGAAGAAGGACGTAGTCGATGCACAATGTCCTCCTGAATCTTTGGCGGGCTTCCTGGAGAACATATTCTCGTCTACAGCGGTGCCGCCGCCGGAGATGACGGACCAACGCGTGTTTACCAACATTCCCCAGTTTACCAAGATGGAGCTTACAAAAGCGATCCGGTCTTTGAACAATAAGAGGGGCGCCGACACGGATGGCATCGTCGCCGAGATGTTCAAGCACGCCTCCGATACATTTACCGATTGGTTACTGTTTTTCTACAACCAGGTGCTGCTTACGGGCGAAGTGGAAGATTCTTGGAAAGACACGGTGTTTGCAATGCTCCCTAAGTCTGGGGATTTGGCACAGCCGAAAAACTGGAGACCGATAGCCATTCTCAAGACAACTTACAAAATATTCTCCCGCATGCTGTACCATCGCTTGCGCGACGTCCTCGAACACGCGCAAGGGCCGGACCAAGTAGGCTTCAGGCCGAACCACTCGGTCGATGACGCGTTCCTGGTCTTCGAAGTGGCATGCAGCAAATGCATAGAATGGCAAGTGCCGATGTGGTGCGCCAGTTTAAATTTGACCAAAGCATTTGATCGGATTGAGTACGGCCCTCTCTTTAATGCCCTCCGGCGCCAAGGCCTTGATGAAGACTACACTGCCTTGCTGGCGAGGCTGTATTCTGGACAGATGGGCAGCGTGTCGGGCGCGCAAGCTTTTCGTATCCAGCGGGGGGTCAAGCAAGGCGACGTCATCAGCCCGATGCTGTTCAACGCTGGTTTGGAGTTGGCAATGGAGAGATGGAAAATCCGCATTGGTCACGCCGGGCTGTTCATAGGAGCGGGCGAAAAACTCACGAACATACGTTACGCTGATGACATCATGTTGTACGCGAGTTCTGCCGACGAGCTGGCCGCCATGATGGAAATTCATATTGAGGAGCTTGACACAGTTGGTCTCCAGCTAAATCCGGAGAAGACAAAGATTCTTACCACGGAGGAGGGGATGGAGACTATGTTCATTGAGATTGGCGAGCACATGCTGAAAGTCATGGGAGGCAAAGATGTCCACAAGTATTTGGGAAAAAGTATACCCGGGAGTTTGAAACATCGTAACGTTATCGAGTTGGGTCGACGATTCCAGCGAGCTTGGCACAAATTTAATGAACACCGTCATGTTCTCACAGACCAGAACGTATCCGTAAGACTGCGGCTGAATCTTTTCCAATCAGTCATTACACCTACATTGTTGTTCGGACTATCGGCTGCGGCGCTGACCAAGCATCAAACGCAATCCCTGGACGTCCTTCAGAATAAGATGCTTCGCGTGGTTGTTGGTTGGAGGCGTTGCGAGGGCGAGGACTGGGCAGACACCATGAGACGCATGAGGGACAGAATCGCCAATGCAATGCAGATCTTTCCGATTGAAAAATGGAGTGAATTGTATTACCGCCGCCTGTTCAGATTCGCGTGCAGGTCAGCATGCTCGGACACGGAATGGAACCCGCGCTACACGCATGGGGCTACGAGGGCGCGCGGGCGCCCTCCGACGAGATGGGACGACCGCCTCCAAGGATTCGCCCGCGATGTCTTGCATAATGTATCTCGCTGGTATGACAGTGTACACGATGGTGACGAGGACGCATTCGTCGAGTATTGCATTCACGCGTGAGGACCGCCCCCGTTCTTTTCTTTCCTCCCCCCTCCCCCCTCGGAGGCACAACGTTTGCTCTCCGTTTACGCACGTGTGCGCTCAGGCCACTGTGCTGGAGCCTCGCCCGTCTACGGGCCAACTCATGTGGTTTGACCGGGCCTCTGTCTGTCCTCATGCTCCGCCTCCTCCTCCTCCTCCTCCTCCTCCTCCTCCTCCTCCTCTACTACTACACCTACTCCTACCACTCAGCCTCCTGCGCCCCCTCTTCCTCCTGCCCCTTTTGTTGCTCCTCCTCGTCCTGCTCCTCCTCCTCCTCCTCCCGCTCTTTCGCCCTCCTTCTCCTCCTTCTGATCCTTCTCCTCTTCCTCCTCCTCATCAGCCTCCTGCTTCTCCCTCCTCCTCCTCCTCCTCCTCCTCCCCCTCCTCCTCCTCATGTTCCTTCTCCTCCTCGTCCTCCTCCTCCTGTTGATCCCTCTTCGGCTCACCCCCCTCCCCTCCTCCTCCTCACCTCCTCCTCCTCCTCCTCTTCTCCTCCTCCCCCTCTTCCTCCTCATCCTCCTCCTGCCTCCTGCTTTCCCCCCTCCTCCTGCTCCTCTTCCTCATCCTTTCCCGCCTCTTTGTCCTCCTCGTCTCTCGCAACAACTGACGCGTCACCCACAAGGCGCGCCCCGCGCCAGCCGCGGCCCACCGCGGACGGGGCCGGGGAAAGCCTACCATTTTCCGCAGAGGGGGCGGGGGAAAGGATAGAAAGGCCGCACACATTCCTGCAACCGCTCCCGAGGCCTCGGAGGCAAGGGGGAAGTTGGAGGAGCGGCGGGGCCAGTCAACCGTAGGAGCGGCACATGCCGTGTACGTCTCATCTTGCCGGCAACGCAGTGCACGGACTACCCTGTCGGTATATAATCCGCAATCTTGCCCCCTGGCACGTTGAGGCGCGCTCTAATGCCAAATGCTGTCTGGTAGGGTTGTGTGATA